TCTACAAAGACATTTTGAAAAGTGTGTTATATCAATGGAGAAAAAGAAATAATCTCAAATGCTAGTTAAAAAGCTAAAGAGGTGTCAAACGAAAAATACAAAAAGTAAATAGTATTTATTAAATAAAGCGAATATGGCAACACTTGGCATTATTTGTTAAAAAGGAAATATATTAATTTTAATAGTATATACATTTATTTAAAATTAAAAAATAATATTTTTAAAATAGAATTAAACACTATATTAAATTTTTCTATGCTGTAATTTATAATATTGCATTCAAAATTTATAACTTTTTAAATTATTTTTAATAACATAAGATACTATCATTAAGTGTTTATTACATATGTAATATTTATAATAGAATATTAAGTAAAGGTTTTTTTTTTAAATATTTTTAAATATTGTGTAATTTTACAGTATTTAGTTTTAAAAACATAATGCCTTTCATTTTATAATAAATATATATATGTGAAATATTTCTTAGAACCAAAAATTTTGTATAATACTGATAAAAGAAACAGACTTCGAAAAAAAGGCAAAATAAATTGTTGGCCGCACGAAACGCTTGTAATCTATTTTTATCAGCAATTGTAGGTGGAGGCGGCAGTGGTGATATTAGCATTTGAGTCTGTAGTCGTGCCGTTTGCTGATATACATATGCGCTAATATATTTATTTCAAACAAATGAATACAAATGGACGTATTTCTAAATATTTTTAGCTTTCTTTGTTGTTTTCGTTTATTTAATATACCTTATAGTTAATTTTCAATGTATTTATTGGTATTAACTTAAATATTTTATTATATTTTAGCATGCAAATCACATATCTAAATATAATCAATTCACTCAAAAAATAATGAATTAGTAAATTCTGAATTTTTTATTGAAGATTTAGGTAAATTGAAATTTAAGTTATTATTTCTATTCATTATTATTAAATTATTATATAAATTAATTATTTTTATTTCTTACTTATTGATTTAATATGAAAGATTTATTTAACGAATATCAAATACAGGGTTGTATAAATTTTTTTTTCTCGGTAAAATGTATAAACATTTTACAACTGTCAAATATTTTGTAAGCTTTAAGAGACATAAATTTGTCTGAATGACTGAGTGTTAAATGTTCACATATATTAAGATTACATTAAAATAATGAGTTGTCAAGCTACTTCAATATAAACACATATTTTTATATTTAACAATTAGTCATTTAGTTTTTGCTCGATTATTTATAAAGAATTTTTTATGACAAAAGAATATCCATTTAAAATTGATTTCTTATTTAATTTCTTAATAATGCAACATGTATGATTGATTATTAAAAATATTAAACTGTTGCAACTAATAATTGACAATTTAATCATGTCATTATCGTTAAATAATAAAACCGTGTAGATTTTAATTAAACTGATCAAAATTAAATAATATTCTAAATCAGCTGAAGATTCCAATAAACGTGGCTGAAAACTCTAACTAAGTTTGTATTACAACTTTCAGGTGACATTGTACTCACCATACCCACTAACCACGGGTATTGGAATCTTCAGCTGCATTAAAATATTATTTGATTTCAAACAATTTTACTAAAATCTACATAGCAGTTTATTAGACTTAAAATTAACAGAGATTTCTGTTTTTTATAGGACATTGAAAATAAAGAAATTCTATATTAATATTGGCTTTTCTACAAGGAAATAGTATCATTCTGTGATGTGGTACCTGAAACACCTGCATTATAATAAACAGCATGTGATATTTTTTAAGAGAAGTATATCTAAGTATTTCTTAAAATTTGTTTCTTAACATTAAAAAAAATTAGTTGCCGTAAACCTATAAAAATTGCTAAATTTCATAAAAAGCTGATATTATGGAAGGTGCTATAATCAATAAATTAAAATATTAAATTCAGGAAACAGAAATTTAAATAAAGAGACAGGATACAGTACATAAATTTATATCATCTAATAATAAATTTACTTTGTTTATAATTTTTATTATAGATTATTTACATAAGATACTTTTTTAAATAAACTTTACGTTGATAGTTCTAAACAGTTACTAGCCTGGCCTTATATAGAGAAATGAAAAGGTAGAATGAATGACAAATTTAATAAAAAGTTTGTGTTTCATTTTTGGGAAATAATAATGAGCTATAAATATATATTTATAGTAATTTTTATACAAGAAAAATGAATCATAATCAACCAATAACGAATATATCTTTAACATAAATGATGCTGTTTTGCTGAAAATAAGAGTTTATAAATTTGAATAGTGTTGATAGTGCAATAATTTGAGCAATTGCATTAAATAATTTTCAATATTTTTTTAAAAAATGATGTGTTTTAATAACTTACAATACAATATCATAAATATTTTAATAACAAGAAAATGACTGCATCTGTTAATTTCAAACTGATGCATATTAATATTTATACAGTATTTAATATTGTAATTTAACATCAGTCACGACGGTCGTGACTATTCAACTTAATAGAAACTATTATATTTGGTAGAGAAATTTTGAAAAGTAGTAAACTATAACAGCAAAAAATTTTTTTACATTATTTTAATTAATTAAATTTGTTTTTATTAATAAAAAGTACATTTTAATAATTAAAATGTGTTTTAATTAACTGAATTATAATATACTTACTAAAAACAAAAACTACGATTACTACTAATAGTACTACTACTAGTACTACACTGTATGCCCCGAACTTGACTACATAAGTGTTAATATTATTTAATCTTTTCTAAAGTTTAAAAAAATGTAAATATTTACTTTAAAATCGGAGGATGCAATTTTTTTTAAAAAGAAGTTAAGTAAATAAAACGAACTAAACATAATCTATTTTCTGAGAATCACAATCGTTTAGTTTTTAAATATTTTACATTCTTCTTAATCATTCGATATTAACATAATATGGAACGTTTACAGCTCATATATCAATATTAATATAATCTCTTATGCGAGTAAATTGGCCAGTGTATTGTAACCTCACCTTTATTTCAATTTTAATTGTTTTCTGTAATTTTCAAACATCCGCTAAATTTTTTGTTATAAATAATTTTTGAATCTCCTCATCCTGTTTACTGAACCACTGTTAGCATATATATGGCGCTTGTTCATTTATAAGAATGTTTTTTTTTTTACCGAGAATTTAAATACATTTTTCTGTATTAATTTAAACATTTGTAAATGTTTAAAAGTATTTTACTTTTTTATCACAAAGTTGTATTTTTTTTTTATTATATAGAAAAAATGTGATAAAAATCAATGCAAAGACAAAAATAATAAATTTAAATAACAAACATGTTGCTTTGATTTTGCACTTCGTGATGAAAATTTCTTTTGGGATTTAATTTTAAAATTCTTAGTTTCTTATATTCTTTCGATTTCGATGTGACGCGCTGGGCCACTTTGTGCTGGCTCAGAGCCCAGACAATATTTTTTTGTTTGCTGTTGTTGTTGTCGATACCACAGTATTTTACTATGCGTACTATTTGTATTGGGGGTAGTGCGTGCGTGTGTGTGAATATTTATGGTTTGCATGTAGTTAATTTGCTTCTGCTGAAATTACTTATCTAATTTTATAATAGTTCAACTTTTTTATGGGCTATTACAGCGTGAACTTGTTGCAAAAATTTATCTAATAAATGGCCAAAAAATTAGGTTAATGAATCGATTGGCAATAATAAATTTGTCTACTATTTTGAATAAATTTTAATTTGTGCAAATTAATAAAAAATTGTATATAGTTTATCTCAAAATGTTTGTTTTTTTTTTTTTTGAAGAAATATTATTATATATGTTATAGTGTTTGAAAAGACCATAAATTTGAAATTATTATTTTTAAAAAATAATATTTTGATAATTTCCAATAGCTATATAATTTTCTCTTAATAAAATAAATTCTATTTCTTGGAATTACTTTGGAATGGAATGGTACAACGTAACGTATACGCATTATTTAATATAAATGCATGCGAAAAAAAAACATCGAAAATAAAATATTTTTAATATAATTTAAAAACTGAAATGGATAAAAATACTTGAAATTTGAATCATTTAAGAAATGAACATTAAAACATTTTTTTTTAAACGGAGTCTGAAGTAAAAATAAAGCAAATTAAACTAAGAAAATTATTTTTACCATATTATTAAAAATTCAGAATAAAAATTTTTTTATAATTAGTTCTTTTTAATCAAATATAATATATATTATATTATATATAAAACATATATAATTTTTAATTAAATATTAAAACTATTAACTAATTGAACCAATTACATATTATTTTCTGAACAAAATCTGAAGTAAATATATAAATAATTGCACTAATAAAATTACTGTTAATACTAATAATTCAGTATAAATGCATAAGAAAATGTATTATAGATTTTACTTAAAAACTATTTAAAATGGAACATTTTTATATTGTTTTCTTAACACAGTCTGAAATAAGAATAAATCTAATTGGACTAATTAAGTTAGTATTAGCAATAAAAATTCTGCATAAAAATATTATAATAATTATTTTTTTTTAATCAATGCATAAGGAAATATATTATATATCGTATTTAAAAACTAAAAGACGAAAGTACACATAAAACTAACTGAACTGATTAAAGTATCTATTTCCAATAATAATTCAAAATAAGAATGTTATAGTAATTAATACTTTTCAAGAGAATACATAAGAAAATGTATTAAATATTGTATTTAAAAACTATAAAATTCTTTTAAAATTATTTTAATTAATTTTTAATATTTTAGCTTTAATTAAATCATGCTTTTGATGTAGAAAACAAATATTAAGAGCGCAAAAAATAACAATAAACTTTATTTAATTAGTTTCAAACAAGAGTTAAAATTAAACAAGTGGAGTCTTGCAAATAGAATTTCCGGGAAATGCAATATTGAAGGGATGAAATACGATTCAAAGTGGTATTTAATTTTTGAATTTCTTTGTTGAACTACACTTACCCATTACCCTAGGCGGACATGTTGCATGGTCCGGACCTGCAGTCAACAGTTATCGATAAATTTAAAAAGAGGAAGTAAGTCTGCGTTTAACAAATTTGCTTTTACGCTTATGTTTTTTTTTTATTTTTGTTTAAGTAAAATTAATATTTTGCATATGTCTCCACTTTGTTTTTTGTTTCACCAAATATATATATATATATTTCTTATATACATAAGTTTAAGTAATTTATGTTAGTTACATAATTTTAAGTATACTTAATAAAAATTAATAAATTAAAACCTCAACTCATATTAGTTTAGTCACATTTCTACTAAAAGTCAAAATTATCTAGTTTATTCTACTTTATTTATTAGTTGCTATAAAAAAATTCCAAATTCTACTAAAAACTGCAACTGCATATACAATAGAAAAAAAAATCTTTTAAGTGCTAAAAATGTAAATATATTAAAAAAATATTTTATTCTTACATACTTCGAATTGTTTTGATTCAATATTTAAAAGTATAAACAAAACAGTATTCTGTTTGAGATATTTATTTAAATAATTTATGTACTTACAGAAGAGCACAGCTACAAAGTCGGTATCTTCGATGATTTTAAGCAGAATTTTTGCGTTCACTTCTTCTATACGATCAGGTAAATCCATGGCTTCCAATGATGTCAGAAAATCAAGAACACCCTCTTCATCCATTAAGTCTCCATCATAAATTATGGGTTCTTTTTCTCTGTATTGAAAATTAATTAAAAATATTAAGTTGTTTTATTTTTGTGTACTATTTTAGTGTATATTTAGTGTATATAGTTCTTAGGTATGTGGAACTGTTCATTAAATTTTTATTTTAATTGTTTGAGAAAATCATATAATCAAGTAAATTCAAATATTTTAATTTATTTATTTTATTTAGCTGAAAATTTAAGATATTGATTTAATGAATAAGAAAATAACCCAGACAATATATCAGATATACTTGAAAATTAGTATCACAACTAGATCAACTGTCTTTATATCAGGATACTGTAGTCCATTAATGGACACAGTTTTAGCAAAAGCTGATTTTTGAGCCAACAAAATTATGATTTTTTAATAATAATAATAATAATAATAATAATAATAATAATAATAATAATAATAATAATAATAATAATAATAATAATAATAATAGTTTATAGATGCAGTGAGAATCATGTCAGAAAAGATTTATGAAATAGGAAATATATATAATAAATTTCTTTTTGAAAAAACTAAACATTAAATAGAAATGAAACTAATAATAACAGTGGCGTATCAAAGAGGTACAAGATATAGATATAGATAATATAAATAGATAAAGATATTTCACTGCAAAATTACTGTTTTTAGGGTATTTCCACCTGGGTATAGTCCGAACTACTTGACTTAAAACTAATGATTGAAACTAATGAAAACCTCCCCATTAATTCATACAATTTTATTTTAAGTATTTACAAAAATTTTTACATTTAAGTAAAACGATTTAATTAACCATATAACCTTATGTTTGAAGTGAAAATATGGATATTTAATCATCAATTAGGATTAGAAACTGTAAGACTTCAATTTGAGAAATATTTAAGAATACATTAGTCCTCAATTACAATTAATTAACGTTATTCCATATATAGAGTTTAGCGAATCACTTATGTATGACTGAATATTTTCTCTTTTGTTTAAATATGTTTATTGCAATGGTATATTGAAAAAGAACGAAGAAATAATGTATATATGTATTGATTTAATCAGTACAGCCTCACGTAAATATTAATCTAGCAAAATTTATACTCCAAAAACTTAATCTAATGTGTCTTAACTCAATCAAAGGAATAAATTCTCGAGTGTCCAGACACATATTAAAGTTTATAGAGTTCTCTAAACAATACGTGTTAAGGTTAAAATTAAAAATAATATAAAGTATTAACTCACCTAAAGTATGTTAGTGCTGGGAAATTTTTAATGCCGTATTGTTTTGCTAGTCGTTTGTCGTTAATCTTAACGAAGTCAACACCGAATGAATCGGTGTCATCATCGATTTTTTCGAGTTCAGCTAAAACTTTATCACAGGTTACACAGCTTCGTGCATCTAAAAAAATAAACATATGCCATTAATATATTTTAAATGATTCATATATATATAATTAATTAAAATAATATATGTATTAATAAGTTTACTCAAATTTTATATTATATTTAAAATAAATAATAATAGAACTTTAAAAAGAAAGACTATCAAAAATTTTAAGTTTTAACCAAAAACATATAAACTTCCAAGTAATGCAATTTAAAATGGGTAACCAATTATATATATTTTATTATAAGAAGTATTATTATATTATCTTATTATAAGAAATTCGCATTTATTCTTCTTGATTTGGTCTATACAGAATACAATTAACACTGCTTTGTCTGCTGAAGTATCTTATTGAAATAGTTTAATACTGACTCAATTAAATAAGTGATGCTTAAATCAAATTTACATGGAGCATCTGTATATGTACTAGAAATAATAAAAACAAGGGACTATCTACCAGGAACTCTTGCTAAAGACTTAACGTGCCACATCCAAAAAAAAGCGTGTATCTACGTCATTGTCCTGCTCTAACAATTTCAAGATAATATAGTTTAGTTTATCTAGTTTTTAATCATTCCATAAAATTTTGGATTCCTTAAGTAGGTAACAAAGAATACACAACACAAGTATTGGTATATAAACATAAGTCATAAAGTAGTCATTGTGATAATAAAATTATAATTTAAAATCAATTTTTATCATTCGACTATAAATATTTTATATATAATTTATTTAATTTTAGTTATATGGCGATTGCATAATCTATCCTACAATATATATAAGCCTTTGTAGTGCAGATTATTATCTCCTTCGTAAATTGTGGATGAGATTACTATGTCACCTTCACGTTTTTTGATTAATTTGATAAGATTATAAGAAATTTTTATTACGGATAAATGTGCCGAACTTTATTCTGCCAACAGCTGAGCATTTACGAATGATATGTTCTAAACTTACGATATTGACTTTCCAAAAACGACTGACATTAGTATCAAAAATGCACTATGCTGCTTAGTAAAAGTATCTTACTTTTACCTCTAACACTAAGCCAGTGGTCTGCCAATTTCTTCTTCTTCTATGTCATGTCCTTTTTCCTACAAAGATATACCCTTATATACATTTCAACGACATGTGAAATGTATAGTCCGCGGGAATTGATTTTTTGAATCTATGGTCATTCATTCTCGCCGCTATTGTTATTGCTACTGTTTTCTTAATTTGACCTATTCATGACATGTATCTATGGGATAAGTTTAGAAGTAATAGAATGTGTTCTTCAGGCTTTAAGCTCATTTATAATTACTTGAAACTTACTGAAAAAACAAGTTTTAAAATAGTAATACTGTGCATCATCTCTGTGTAAAATGAGATTAAAACAGAAGTTTTCTAATTCTGCGCTCTTAACATATATATCCGATTTTAAGTTCAGAAGTGACTTGATATGACAGTGCTGTCGTCTTTTGAAGTTAGGGACATAGCTGAGTTTATAAGCTTATTAGGTTAGTTCTGGCTTTTCAACACCATTCGAGCTCTTTAGATATTCGTGATTTCTACTTTTCAAATCTGGCGTACGGACTATGTCTCTCTCATTCGAGGTATCATAACGAGCTATTATTTGTGCTTAAGTGTTCTTTGGTGCACAATGCTGCCACTCTAACCTTACCAAAACTTGTAGTTATAACCGTCTACAGCCTTCCTTCCATGAGTCATTCGTAATAATCGTGTCATCTTTCTCCTCACTATTATTTATGATATATATTTAGACATGTTTTTTATTATTTAATTATTTTTTTATATAAAATTATGGCTATTTACGTTGAAGTTAACTCCATAAATAAAATACATATTAATAGCTAAAGATTAATTTTGAAAATTTATACCACTAGACGTTATTGAATAACAAAATATTTTAAAAATAATTTGCTGCAATAATTAAAAATAGATTAATAATAAAAGCAGTTTTCTTAGAAGAATGCATAAATTTATAATTCAATTAAGACGTTTAAAGTGCACAATGAAATTTTTTTTCAATATTTTTGGCAGACATTTTTATACACTTAAAGCAAAATATATATTTTTTCCCTGCGATTGTTTAGTAAATAAAAGGAAAACATTGTCTCTGATTCAGTTCATAGCAGACCGACTGCAGCTCTATAGCACAGATTTGCATTCACAACCAACTGCTGTATAATCTATCAATTTTCCTATATGGCTGTGACGCCAAAAAGATGCCACAGCGCTTATTCACCCAAAACTTCCTGCTTCTTCACCTTACCGATTCAACTGAATATGACAAAGACCGCTTGAGTTGAATTGCTAATGCGGCAGCATAAACCTTAGCTGCCCACCTTCTGCTAACCAGCCATCAGCCGAGAGAGAAGCACCTACATTGAATGAATTGATTTAAATGATGAAGACGACAATTTCGCAAATATGCTCACATTATTAATGATTGCGAATTAGCCAAAAATAAACAAAGAATAATAATTGAAAATAATTGCAAATAATTGAAAATAATAAAAAGCAAAAACTAAATGAGAATTTCGAGGAAAAAGAAACCCAAAAAATTAATTCATAAAATTTAAGTTTAATCAAACTATAATGGGTAAGTTTTTCATCATCGACTTGCCTAATAAATGGGGTGTTTACGATTACTCGTTGCTTTGGCGGCCATCCGGCGTTGCGAGAAACCGCCATCTTTGCTGCTCCCACTGCGGCAACAGTGCATTGCAGCAACAGGCGCGCTTCCTCAAATTTGTCGCCATGTTTCGTTTATAGTTCGACAGGGCGTACGTTGCGATTATTCATTATAAACTTGGCCGTTGGTGATTATTTGTGCAAAGTAAAATTATTTATATGCACTTAAAGAGTGCCTTATTTTTCAATATTCATTTAATTCACACACTTAATACATACACACAAAGATCTCATATAAATGAAAGTTTTACAGGTGAAATTATTATTAATTATATTAATTTTCAGTTTTTTTTATTAAATAATTTAAAAAAATAAAAGCAAAAACATTTGTAAATTTCCAAATATTTTTACACACTAAAAAGTTCAGACTTCGAATCAAATATGAGTAATTCATGTGCATAAATAAGTTTTAATTTGTTCTATTATTAAATGAGTTAATGTTAGTCTTAATTAGCAATCTGAGCAATCCAATTTCTAATCCTTATTATTCCAATCTTAATTAGCAATCCAAGCAATCCAATTTTAATTTAAATTACCGACGTATATATTAATTCCAATTTAAGAACCGAAACTACAATAAATCCATGATTCACACAAACATCTTAAACATATTGGAAGTGAAGTTTCACTAATGCCGTCCTGAATATAAAAGCCGATACATTAGATTTAGAGTATGAGACGCCCTAAGATGGTTATCATCGTTGTTACTATATGTACATGGGCTGCAAATCCCATGGCTTTAAAAAACATTTGCAGTGTAAATAAAAATGCATCGTGTGACTTAAAGCAAATCCTAAAGACTGTTAATATTTTAAGAAGATGTAACTTTGAATTAAAAGGCAGAGCTTTGCTTTGCAGTTCTGCTGTAGTGTTTCATAACTATTTGGATATAAGTTTTATTTGTTATTTATGTTATTTGGCGATCAAGTACTAATGCCAATTAACTATTATAATAGATTGAACCATACAAAGTAATGATTGCATGAATTTGATTCCCAGAGTTTTAAATAATATTTATATACAAATAGATATTTATCATTCCATATATCAGTTAAATGATAATGATGTAAAGGATATACATATTCTATTCAATTTGATTAGGTATGATTTTGTTTTCTACATTTTTTTTATCTTATTTTAACTTTTGATATAACTTAACTACAACGCACAATTAAGTTATATTCGCTGCCGACTGTATTTCATATAATCTCACTATGATGGGTTTAATCATATGTTTGGCAATGAAACAAGTTTCATATTGTGAGTCAGATACAAGTTATTCCAATACTCTTATAACCCGACGTTAATTTGTGTTTTAATAAACTTAACTTTATTCTTATATATCTTATCTGAAGTCAAAAGGTGATTGAATTTCTTAATTTTTACATATGTTAAATATGATTAATCAAATAAGAATAGCCTACTATTCAATAATCATTATACGTTTCCAACACCCGATACTGCCCAGAACTTATTTCTGTCGTAGTAATTGTGAGTTATTTCGAGTTAAGCGAAAAAAATGCGAAAAAATGCGAAACAAATTACATGAGAATTATAATAATACTTAATGAATCAATTGTGCTTCATGCTTAAGTTCCATATATCAAAATTTATTTTGTAGCATATTTGTAATCATATAGAAATAAAAACAACACTGTTCTTAAACAGTACATATTGAATCCAATTAAAGATAATTAAATTAAATGAAAAATTTTATTATATACAAATAATACGAGAGAGAGATTTAATTATATATTTCTTAAATATATAATTATATTTCTTAAATATAATATTTCTTAAAAAAATATTAGTTTAATTTGAGTTTACTTTTTAGTATAAAGCTCAAATACCTATATTTAAAACTTAATAAAACAATATTTATTATAAGGACTGTATTCATATCGATATCAATATTAGGCCTTTTCTTTTGTAAGCATTTCACAAAAGAACAAATAAAATAAGCACTACTTTCAATGGTAACTCTGTACCAAATGGCGATTTTGTTAGCCTTTTATGTGCATTATTGGTGAGAATATTTTTTTTACTTGATTGTAAAAAAAATATAATTTTTCATGCATTTTAACATTAAAATAATAAATAGAAAAAATAAGAAAAAATAAATCACGAAATCATCCGTTGACAGTTAACTGGAAATTTCGTAGATATTTCCAAAAGTCATTCACAATAAATGAGTTTTTAGTGTTGGCAACCATGTGATTTAAGCTGCTTATTAGTGAATCGGTTTCAAAAAGGTAAACCAGCAGTATTGTTGCTTCATATGTGATTTTCTAAATAAGCAGTTATTCTTTTGTGGTATGCTTACAAAAGCAAAGGCCTATTATTGGCTATTGGTAACTACTTTAGAGCCTACCTACTAATAGTATCGATACTTTTATAGTGTATAGGTTTTATATATCCCTGCATATATTACATTAATATATCTTTGACACGTAAATATAAAAAGAAACTTTTTTAAATTTCTTTTTTATTTATAATTTATTTGATCTTATGATATAAGAGTAATAACCTTTCTAAACTCAATGTCAAGCGTATAAAGCTATCCTTGTTGGTAATTTCTTATACTTACATTATTAAAAAATTAAATTAAAAAGTAATTAAATAAATATTTGTTTAAATATATTTATAAAAATACTTAAAATTTCCGTTTGCATTATTCTATAATTATTTTTTGCAATTATTATATTTTAATGAAATATTAATAATATAATTGTTCTTTTTTTATAATGACTTTGTTTTTGATTTTAAATAACCTCACTTTCAAGTTTATTTACTTCATGGAGGTAAAGAAAATAAAAAGTATTTTTTTTATAAAATGATTAAAAGAAAAAGTCCACCCACATGGCGAAAGTATATAACATAATATGCAATAATATATTTTATGTTTATATATATACATATAAATAAACACATTTGCACATTAAAGAATTTTAAATTCTTTGCAAAACATAATATAATTTTTTTTATAAAAAATTTATTTATATTAAAAAAAATATATAATCAAAGAAATGTGTATTACATTAAAATATATCAAGGTACCCACAGAAAAAAAACTATTAATTAATATTTTTGAAAAAGTAAATCAAAATTTGTTCAATAAATTAATAAACAAAGTAAATTATAGAATAAGTAAAAAAGTCAAATTGATTTTATTGTGAATTAAATTAATAAAAAATTTAAATATTATATTTTATTATATAAATTGTATAAATTATATAAATAAATAATTGATTACATAACCAATAATTAGTTTAATAAATTGGTTTTTAATGTGCGTTTGGACTAAGGAAATTAAATTCTTAATATAAAGAATTGTTGTCTAGGTATTTTGAAATTTAAATTAGTTTATGATAAACATAATTTTATTCAAAAAATGAAGCTGGAAAAAACAAAAACAATATTATATGGTTCGTTTATTATAATAAATGAACAGTTTGTTATAATAAATGAACAGTTTATTATAATAAGTAAGATAAGAGAAACTAGAACTAAAACATATTATAAATTATCAAGTAATGTAATTTACATTAATTTGTAAATTAAACATCAATTTTTTCTTTTTAACAAATAGAATTACAAATAAATATTAAACCCCAATCATTTGAGATTCATTTATTATAGTTCAAAATAAATATAAAATTTAATACTAAAAATTAAGAATATGGATTTTAATCATCAAATGCCTTTTTAATTTAAGGTCTTATTAACCTAATTGATATTATAATTGTAATATAATTGTAATTAGTTTGTCTTAATACGCTTCTACTCGAAAAATTATTTAAAATTAAGAAATATTTATTTATTACTTGCCACGTCCAAAGTACGGCCTACCGTACGGTCCGCGACATGTTTCTAATCTACCACAATTACGCAAATTTTTCTTTGTTATATTTTATTCTTATGGTATCTCAAATAAATTAATTAAAATATTTTAAATAATTTATTATACTCGACATTAATTTACTTAGTTGACAAAATAAAATAAACTAAGATATTTTTCTATATTTTTTAATATGTTAATATTGATAAAACTATATTTAACATTATCGTCTTATTTTCGTTTTTCTCCCGTAAAATTATGAACGTATGTATTTATTTCTGCGGTCCTCCAACCTATTTACTAATTTGTATTGGTCCGCGGTCTTATCTGGTCTGGACAGTCCTGTTGTAGAACATCTTTAATATAGTATTGTGCCGCTGAATTATATTAAAATTCTCGATATTATACTTTTATATATATGTCTCTGTTTATCAAACGGCAATAACGATCATCAATAATCTATAATTTGTAACACTTATCCTCATTTTTAGTGTTGGACAAGTTATAGGAACTTGGTGTCCATAAAGTTCTATTGGGTTCTCTTAATCGACTTTGAATATTTCTCTGACCCCAATTTCTGAATTTAACTACAATTTGTAATACTAAACCTACATTTAACTGTCGGACAAGTTTCTACCCGTCTAGGAACTTTGTGTCCCATACTTTAACCCACAAAAATCTATAAATTCCATTAGAAAATCTTTTGTAAATTTTTAAGTTATATCTTGTTGTTAGAGTTCTTGCAATGACTCTTAAGTTGTCTTTTTTTTATTTTTAAATCCTTTTAGATTAAAAGTCTCTTTTAGCAATTTTGATTGTTATAGCCTTAATAGATTGTCCTAGTTTATGATAACATCTGAATAGGTTAATAAAATATTTCAATATCAATGTATGCATATTCATTTCAATACAATATATTTTTTATTCAGTTTCAATGGATTCAGTTTCAATGAAATTATAAAATCATAAATATAACGATTATATACGTATTATTACAATTGTTGTCAAAAACTGTAGTTTTTTTTTAGTTCCAAACTTAAACTTGAACGGGTAACATAATAAGTACAACAGAAAAGTAATAAATGTTGAAAATACAACACTTTATAACACTTTATATTACTCCTTAATGGCATACCAGTTGACTTAAATAGCGATATTTAGTCGCTTATATCTACCTTTAATTTTTTAACAATATGTATTTCAAAATAGTTGTTACATATGAATAATATAAAACTACGTTTAAATATATTTAAATACAAAATAATTTATTTCAATGTCATATAACTTTGAGAGGTGATTCTTTATTTAAAAAAATGGAAGAAATAGTGTGGCAAAAAGAAAAATCCATATTCTATATATATATATATATAAATCCAAGTAAACTATATTTGTATTGAAACTTTTATGTCTTAAAAAAATATTATTTAAAATTAAGATTTTATTTATTATATTTAAAGCATCTTTGTAGAAGCTTTCGATTAAAACTTAAAAAATAATGAAGAGATGTTAGTAAATGGACTACAAAGAATTAATTGAATTTTCCAAATTTTCTCACACTTTATAAACATATAATCTATATTTAAATAATAATAAATAACAGAACGATAGCGTAATTTTTTAATTTTATCTATTTCGCAATTATTTATCAATAATTACTACTTCTATATATATAATATATACAAAAGTTACTTAAATACCATCAATCTTCTTATATTGGTATGATTTGTTTAGATAAATAACTATAGATATAATGAAATCATTACAATGAATATGATTATTAATGATTCATTTATATTCATTAATTATGTTTATAGATTTGAAATAATTAAAATGTAAGCATTTTCTCTTGCCTTCAACATTTATTTTGTTTAATTTACTTTAATAAAAAACTTAAATTATGTAGGCATACTAGATAGAAGTTCTATTTTATGTTTTTATTATTCAATCATTTTCCCACAATAAACATTACTCTGCTTGTGCTATTAAGTTTTAAGACATTATTTGTTTTCTAATAAATATATTCAACTAATAATCGACCAATTATTATCCATTTATATCAAAATAAATTTTAAATAGATTTCAGTGAAAATTTTTAATTGCATTTAAAAATACTGTTAATTTTTGTTTTGAAACATTTAAATAATTTAGTTAAACTAGCAGAGCTGTCATGATCATCTCTGTTTTTATATTTTCTTGTTAAATGATGCTGTCAAATATACACTAACTGACAAATATTTGTGAGACAGTTACGGCTGTTAGGCAGGCGATAAAATGACATCGACCGCCACATTTGTTGTTGCTTTTAATGCAAGTTAAAATTTTGAAAGCATTGGAAGCTATAACAAATGCGGTGGTCGACGAGTATTTGATCGCCCTTAGTTACAGCCTTTCTGTACTATAAATAAGAAGGTAAAAGTGAACAATGACCTCAAAATATCTATAAAGATAAACAGCTGTGAAAAATACCAAATTTTTAAAAAAATTTAAAATATTTTTAGAATAAAAGACATTTGCCATATGTAAATAGAACTCAAATCAAAAATATAAGAAGAAAATAATTTAAATTATTAAATCAGTAAAAATTTATAATATTAAAATCAGTAAAGTTTTTCGTTTTCAACATTTATTATATAACAAGAGATATAAAGACTATATTGTTTTAAAATAAATTAAATACCCAAATAAATACATATTTTAGAAAAAAAAATTATTCAATTAGATATTGTTCTGTTTTGATTTTTTTACACTTACACCAGAAAACCGCTACATAATCCTTATCAGCTAAGAGCTTTTCCAGCTGCTTAGCATTGACTTCTTCAATAATGGCTTCCGGTTCGACAGCTGCTGGCGGAGGCGCAGCACTGCCACTCTGTGATCCTTTTTTGTTAGCACCATTCACAAATCCGGGAAAACTGAGCGCTAATAGCGAACACACGAACAACGTTAAAATTTTTATTCGCGAAAAAGTCTTCATTTCTCTGAATTTCTAATTTATTTCTTAGCCAATTTTTTTTCAAATTCTTAAATCCGTCGTTTCGAACTTAAATTATGTTGACTTTTTCGTGTTGAAATATTATATTATTTAAATAAATTATAATAAATATTTTGATTAAAACAAAAAAATCATCAGTGCTAAATTCTAAAAAAAGGAAAAATTCGTTAAAAAAACTTAATTTTCTTCGTTCAATTTTTTTTCTAAATATATTGAGTGCGTTAAAATTAATTCAACATTTTCTTAAAAGAAATTAACTACAGATATTTAAAATATTTATTAAAATAAAAATTAACAAAATAAGATATTTAAACAGAATTTAATGATTTTTTTATTCAAAAAAATTTTTATTTTTATATATTTTCTTTTTCGATTTGAAAAGGCACAGGCACTATTTTTGGTCGCTTTGATTATGAAAAGAAGAAAAAAAACAATAACAAAAAAATAAAATCTTTTCTTTCGATTTGCGTGTGTATAACAAAACTTTTCTTTCTTTTTCTATTAGAATTTTTTTTTTAAATCTATTATATTTTTGGTACAAGTAAGCAGCAACAACAACAACAACAACAGAAATAATTATATATGTATCTTATATTTGATTTTTTATATATAGAATACAATTTAGCAGATTTTAACGTTTCCGCGGACAAAATTTATGCTTTAGAAATTTTATTTTTTGATCCACTCCGTTCTAAGGTCCGCTCGCAACTGAATTATTCTTGCCAAAATTTCGAATGTTGGGATTACAGATTTGGTTTCCAAATACATAAGAAAAAATGCTTTGGGACAAGTCCGATCAATTCGCGAAAAGTTTTTCTTCTTCAACGTGAAAGCTACAGATAGTTTCAGATTGCTCTGAATAAATTGTCTGAGTAAAAATACGAGTATCGGAGAGTTAAGAACTGTTTACATTTGAAAGTATTTGAAGAAAATTAATATGTCTTTGAAAATGATTGTAATTTTAAATATTTCTATAATGGTTAAACTTGAATTAATTTTCGAAAAGGCTACGTAAATTGAAAAGTCATAATTTGGAAAGGATAATTTGATCTTAGTTAAATTCAAAATACAAAATCTTTCGGGTTCTTAATTAATAATTCTCATTTTTTCCAACATTTCATTAAAACACAATTGATAATAATATTGTTTAAATAATTATTGCTCAAGCAAGGATTAAGATGTGATTATTTAAATTAATTTTATAGTACAAACATTTTTTAAAAGATTGATTTTGAACGATAGCTGATAAATTTTGCAAACGATTTTCTCTGGCTTACTATAATACATTATATGTTTCAATAATTTGCACACTTTTTATATGAGATGTGTTTTGTACTATTGTAAGAACAGCATATTTAATTATAACACATTTTGTATATACCCTTTTAACTGTAATTCATTCTTTATAAAAAAACGAATGTAAACTTAATAAAAACTTTTATATATTTTTAAAAATACCACTGTGTACTTTGACATTCGTAATGTGTTTTTTAATTAACCAAGTGAGATCCTATAATTAGTATTTGTAACGGTTAACCAACGAAAAAATGTTAATAGATTTATACAAACATAACGTGTATGTAGATTTCTGTATTATTTGCAGATGGTAAGACCTTACTCCTTACTTAATAAAACTTTGAAAATGTTTCAAACTGACTACTTATTATCTTATTATTACTTAAGATAAGTAAGTATCTTATCTTATAATAATTACATTGGATTATTACTTATTATCCAATGTACAGGGTTACTTTACTTCCTGTGAGAAAAATCCTTATGATATCCAACTGGTCGACTTTTTATCCCATGACTGCTCTAATCATTTGCCATACACAAAATATTGTCTCTTGTTTCTTAATTAGTTGAATTAAGGTTATGTGGTTGTGTTGGGTTTAAGACTTCCACTACCTAAAAAAAGTAAAAAAAAGATGAGTAAATACTAAATTAAAAAATTAAAACTTTAGAATAATTTTAAAACTATGTATGCTTACACATTTACATAAACTGTAAAAAGTAATAGTCATTATCAAACTGTAAAAGCTGAAATTGAACTTGAAAGCTAATAAAATTTTTGAAACAATTTAAAAGCTACTGTAAGCAGAATATTATTAGCAGCAGCTAACCATTTTATTAAAAACAAAGTTTTTCTTTATATATACCAATATTTTTAGTTAAAAATACTTGCACTTAATTTTCTTATTATTTTTAGAGATCAATTAATTTATTATAAAGTTTATGCTCACAATTATCATAAACCATTTTTGTGTTTTAAAAATGATCGAAGACAATTAAGATTATATATGCACACAACTTACATAAAGAGGTTATAAACGTTTAGGAAATAGGACATTACAGGAAACCCGCAACTTCAATGCATTTATACAAAAAGAAAAGCTCTTTTGGAAGAAGTTAGTAATCATAATATCTTATATATTCGTGTAGCTACGTTAGGCGTAATAGAAAAAAAAAATCAGCTTCTTTATTGGAATTATTTGTTGAATATCGCACCATTATGTATAGAAAATTATATTAAATAAAAAAGTATATTATTCTGTTTTTGTATAATTTTCTTATATAAAATTTTCTTCAAAATAAACTTTTTAAATAATGCAACCGTGTTAATGTGCTTAATCAGGTGCGAGCAGAGCTGTCATATGCTAAGCTTTCTCGCTCAGCTGACAAAAAGCAAACCATAAAGCTCATATATATTTTGCTTAAATATTCATATAAAGTTTTAGTTCTATTTTTCTGTGTGTCGACTGAAGTTGAAGAGGTGTAGCAGTTTTGCCAATTGTTTTCTACAAATATTGTTTACAACGCGATAACAAATTTATTAAAAATTTTTAAATTTCAATTAATAATAATTGAGTTAATGCGTATACATATTTATTTAAATATTAATCGTTTTTTTACGTGCTTATCTACTAAGGGTGTTAAGTCAAATCCCATTCCACCTAAAACAAATAAAAAATCGAAACTCCTGAGAGTGTAAAATAATTGCAAAATTAAGAGTAAATTTTCTTTGAGCCATTTAAGCGGCTATAAGTTTGAAGGAGGAAGTGAGAAGGGTTAATAAATAACATTTTTAATCTTTTAAAATCAATAGTGAATTATTTTTAAACATATAAATTACATGCACAATAAATGTATAAAGCATAAGAATTGTGTGCTTTGTTCGAAAAAAAAAATTACCATTTTTTACTAGAAATTTTGTTGTTGTTTGTGGGCCATTGAATTGGTCTTTTGTACGTGTTAGCGCAGTGTCATGCCAGACAGTAGAGAATACAATAAAAATAACACAAAACATAATCTAAAAATAAAAACAAAAATTGCCGTAAAATAGCTACAAAAAACAAACCTATGCAAAAACAAAAAAGTAAACAAATTGTTTTAAATATTTTAAGATAAAATTATTCAAAATTTAAGAATGTGCACTTTGTGCTAAATTGTCACATGCTTTGACAGTTAATGGCAATAAAAAAATCATTTGTTTCAAAAAATTTATATATTTAAAGAAAAAGTAACGAAAATATTGGCATTCAATTTAAATCATTTTTAATTATTTTACTTAACACAATTACAATGTAAACTGTGAGCTTATGAAGTAAATAAATAAAAAAAAATTGTTTTAAATAAATTTTTAAAAATGTGTTCCAAAGCAATAAAAATTTAGCTCAGCAAAAAACTAATTTAAAAATAAAAATTTAATTTTCCCGCAATTGGCATTGACTTTTAAAATCAAGAAGTAGGTAACAACAACAACAACAACAACCACAATAGCTACAGTAACACCAACAAAAGCGCAAAGGAAAAACGTGTTTTTCACTCAGGCAAAGTAAAGAGTGTTTCTAAGAGAAAAAAAAACTATTAGTGCAGAGAGTAAACGTAGTATTTTACTTTGGTAACCACATTGTGGAGATTTAACTAATCTCAACCCTCTTCACTATATCCTTTAATGCTAAAACAAACGAACACTTGCCTAATATAAAATTTATAATTTGTTGTTGCCACCCAGGACAACCTTTACTCTAGTGGACCTCCATTCCAGTATATAAATTTGCTGTCAAGGAGAAGTGTGCATTTTTCGTCACCATTCAAGGTAAGTCGTCACTAGTAAACGCAAATTTTATTGCAATAATATAATTAAATTATATTATAAAGAAGATTTATAAAGCTAGAACTTTATTTTCTTTTTTTAAATATTAAAAAATAATAATAGTTGTATTGACGTGGTTTGACCTTGTCATAGGAAGCAGGAACTTGGTTAGAGTAAACTATAGTACGAAATTTGAATAAATTTTTCTTATATTCATATACAAATAATAAACTGTATGAACTGTATTACATATATATAGGTAAATAAAATTAAAGTTGTATCCTTAAAAAAAATTTTAAATTCTATGATGTATTTCAAATTTCAAAAAACTATATTATTTCGGTTTTAAAAGAAGATAACATATTATTCTTTCAACTAATTTTTTTCAGACACTTTTTGATCATTATCGATGATAGTGAGATATGCAAAACAAATTCTGTTATATTCTATACACATACATATGTGCATAAAAAGTAATTTAAATGTATTGGTAACTCATGTATTATATGTATATGTAAAAAAAAACTGCTTGTAAAAAATAATTATTTCAAGCCCGGTTCTTACAATTGATTCACGGATGGGTCAAGATTAGAAATAGTGAAACACGGTTTCCCATAATAGTCTCAAATTTGAATCAATTCCCATAAGGGTCTATCCAAGAAATTCAAACAAAAATAAATATCATCAAAACATATGTCACAAAATATAGAAACTTGAAAATAAACCTCATTTAAATATTATTAGACAGGTTAGTTACATTGAGTACACTCCAGTTACTTATCTCTACAGTAATGATTAATTTACCAAACTTTCTTATGTTTGAGTAACTTTGATACTTTGACATTGGAATGAAACCTAAGATATGGAATGAAAAGACTTATTATTTCTGAATAATAATTCGAGGGTAAAAAAATGAGTGATTTAGCGAAAAAAATATAGGCCCAATAAGTAAAAGTACTTATTGGGTCTGTTCCTTTTCGTAAACCCACAAAAAGCAAATTAATCTATTACAAAAAAGTTTTCAATACATAGGAGAAAAATAAATTTGTAGATCATTTAACCTAATAGTGTAAGCTAACGACGAGCAAAACAATTCATCATACCAACAAATAGAATATCAAATAAGCTACTTTGACTAAGCAGGGTAAAGTTAACAATTTTATCGGTTAGTGTAACCTGAGTTGGTTTTAAAACAGATCATTGATAATTTTGTGAATTGGGATTATCGACTCTTAGAATATAAGAATATTTTAAATAATAAATTTTATATGTATAACATATAGGAATTATGTAATAAATAGATAAGAGAAGATTATTTATAAAATTTATTCATGAGATATAAATACACAATATTCCGAATAGAATTTACCCATTGAATTTCTGCTAGGGAGTTATAAATCGATTTGATGTTTGCAGAAGTAGTTTGAGCCAAAAGTAGCTTGATAGAAAAGGTGGATGGTCTCAAAATATTGTAGTCTTTGTCTAGAGAAAATAGTCCGGAATAATGGATGTTAAATAGAAATATGGCAGCACTTCTGTGTGATATCAATGATCAGTTGCTTGTAGAACATTGCCAAAATGACGTCAGAAGCCACAGTGTGAGACTTGAA